CAAGCAGGGGCCGTTGGTTCGAACCCGGGCCTCTGAGTTTTTCTGAATTTAAATGCGAAATTTTATTTGAAATTTACCCCGAGCTTCTCGGTGAAGGAAAACTTCGTGATAAAACCTGCACGTCGAAGAAGGTGCACAACACTAAAAAACGTGTGAAGCGTGGCACCGACTTTGGCACAAAATCCTCGTCTGAGAGGAAACCCATGCCCAGTAATGGGATGTATAAATGGGTTAATGACAACGATGACATTTTGAATCTGTTGAAACTTCATTATAACGACCTTCTTATCGGGCAATTAATCGACGTTTAGGATGTGTTGCAACGTCCATGGTCTCGAAGGTCGAGTTGTTACTCGCATCGCGGTCCCTAAGTCCCGAGAGAGGTCCCGAGTGCACAAATAAATAATGAAGACTAAGTGCGAATAATTACAAAAACTCACACAACCATAAAATGTTGACACCCGCCTCTTCGAGACAATGGACGTTGCAACACGTCTAAAACGTCGAGCTATATATACCTTTACGAGATTTAGCCCCGATTTTTTGAATATAATATATTATAATATATTTTTTTAAATACATTTATTTATTACTTTTACGGTAAGCTCAGCGGTTTTTTTATGTTTTAAAATCTGCAATGAAGTACATTTTAGAGGTGGTAAGTTAGAGATATTTGTCAAGAGATAAGGATAAAAACAATAGACTAATAAATAAATAGACTATATAATATTGAGTTCTTAGGTTTTCGCGATTGTTGCACATAGGAAATGAAACTATTTTTCTGGATTTAAATCGCATATATTTGTTTTTTCAAACAAATCAACGTTTCGGGCCCTTTTTATGTAGATATAGGTCCCATGGTCATGGTTGATATAGTCAAAGTCAAAACAATTACACGCAATTTAATTTCCCAAACTACATTTTTTTTAATTTTAATTGATTTCATATTCAATTATTTTTTGTGAAATTACTCCACTAGTTTGTTATAATTAATAATATAAAGGTCGAATACTCAGAAAACTTAACTCCGGCCGCATCGAGGGATTTTTTTTGTAAATGTTCGATCCTTATATTGACAATTATATAATTTTTGTTTGTGATTATTAAATGACAGAACGAACCAGCCATTCGCCTGGCGGTAATCTTCATGGTTACTCATAACAGTTGCAGTGACACTCAAAGCTTTATGTTGTAAATATCTGAGAGACACTGCCACTGCACCTGGCACCCTGTGACATGAAATTGACACCCTTTAAAACCGGAATACCAGTAATACCAGGATTCTCGCTTAAGATTGTACGATAAGTGCCTACCGCTGAGTACGCCGACGTCAGCGCAAGCGCTCATAATACAAGTCTTTAATTTATGAGTATTCGGTTCCGCATGACTGCACACGGAGGTCAACGTTATTTTCACCTCTCTGAGCGCGTGCTTAGGTTCCTTTTTTCTCGTAGTGAACGCTTGGCGTCATTAGTAAGACTTTGTAGGCTATTATTGCGTAGGTATTTTAGTGACTTATCTGTTACGTAATAACTATTAAGTTTTTGTTTTTAGTATTTAACTGCCTCCGTGGCCGAACGGTTACCGGCCTGTCACGCAAAGGTCCCAGGTTCGATTCCCGAGCCGGGAGAAATATTTGTATGGCCTACATTTATTTCGCTCGTGAGTTTGGGTGTAATTTGTGTTTGCCTATGTGTGTGTGTCCATGGCATCCGCGACACTCGTCTCACTGGTGCGGGGCTATGTTGAGTGTGTGCATCATTTTTGTATGTGCGTTATTATACAAAAAAAAACTATTAAGTAATTTGTGGTAACACTCATATTACTGTACGACGGCTGAAATAGGTATGGTGGCAACACTGGACTTAGTTTTTCACAAGAAGCTTTACTGTTGCTTAAAATTGCAGAGTTATTCATGAATTATTATAATTTTAAATAAAATATGTTTCGCACAACCCGACCCCGTAGAATATAGACTAAAGACTAGCGTTTATGTAAATTATTCAACAAAATTTCAGGCTTTATAGTGGCTCCGACTTCATTTAGACAGACCCTCAACCGTCTTATAGGCTCTCTGTGACGTCACAATCGTAGTACTTATTGACAGCATGAATAATATAATTTTCTAGGCTAGTTTGAAATCTTGCTTTATTTTGGCTATATCGGTGCACAAGTGGCCAATTTATGATAATAAGTAGAGTATATATTAAGAAAATTTATTTACTATCATTCTTAAATAATTAAATAGTAAACCATTTATTTCAAAAGTTAGTTACAAAAGAAAACCTTACAACCTTAGAATAATAACGCATAGAATGATAGTTTCATATCAAGCGAACTGTCACAAGTGAGGCAAAAATCAAATTCATGTAGGCTAGTTGTAGTAGTAGGTTAATTTTCGGTTTTAGTGAATATTTATATAAAAATATAAGTTGAAACGCGTTACTTCCTTGTGGAATGTGCTGTTAATATCTATTTTATGTTTGTCTGACGCATTTTTACACTCATTCACCGCACATTTCGTCATTTTTAGCTAAAATTCTTGATCTGTTCGCGGTGCAAGTTGACCTTGAGCACTGAAGGCCCGCCCGCTCGTGTAGGCCCATTGGGCGCGCTTCAATTTGCCTCACTTAGCGTGTGCGGATTAGGTTTCTATGCGTTATTATTCTAAGCTTACAACTATGTTAGTTTGATTACAATTAATTTAGGAAATTTGATTAAAAAATTAAAATATTGAGGATTCAGAATCTCATAAGAATTTACTAAAGAACTTATGGACTAACTAAAAGTATATTTTCCATACGCGAACGTGCTGCATTTTTAATTAATAGTAATAACTTAAATGTGTTTAATTACAATGATCAAAAATAAATTAGGCTACTATAAAAAATAAAAACACTAAAACAAACAAATTTGATCGATGTTGTTTTTATTTATTTTAATGTGGGTACATTTGAAATATTACTACAAAAACCCAATTTTGAACCAACAAAGACAGTGAAACGTGTTACACAGATCAGCAGTAACTAGATGTGGTAACTTTTCGAGTACAGATTTATAGCACGATATGTTTTGCGCGTTGTTGCTCATTTTATAATTTTGGTAAAATAAATGTATTTTAAGTAGCTTTTTGATATTATACGTTTTTTTAGTCTCCTTATAATATAATACTAGGTAGTTCGTCGTAGATTTTAGCACTTTCATATTGTGTAATATTTCTTTTGCGATAGTTAGTCGTAGATGGACGCAACACAAGTTTATTTACATTTCTTAGACGAACTAAAAAATATTCAACTACAAAAATTAAAATATTAAAATTAAGAAAATGCACATTATTATTTAATTTGACCAATAGCAATCCGAAATTTTAAAATTGTACAGTCAAAACGATGGGCAGTCATCTTCAGGATGCCATTGCCACTGCCACGCACTCTCTTTAGCAGAGACGACACCTTTTTTCGACGAATGGCATAAAAGTTATCTGTTCGCGCATCAGTCCCAACAGCATCCTGAAGATGTTATTGTACAGTCTTATTAAGTAGTATGTACGCTGCGTATATCTAACCCATAGACCACTCGAGTACATTGACTGACAAAATACGTTAACGAAAGTAGAATCGGAACGAGCCACCTTTTTTTAATCTCAAATCTTACGTGTTCCACAATCTCGTGATTGATATTAACAGCCATAGCGAGAAATCGTGTTTTCGTTGCTGAGTATATAACAAATACTCTATACGTAGCAATACGGTTCAATATTACATCAACTAATATTCTCACCTTGTCTATCCTCGTCAATCCAGATAATTTCTACCGAAGATGCGCTAGGAGAGAATTGACACTTTGCCATACAAATATCAGTCCTCGTCTCGTCTCGTCTCGCCGGTGAAGAAGCACCTTTACGGTTAAACAGCGCTTCTCATTTCTTTACATGTACTATGTTGTTTACATTGAATTCAAACTTTTTGTGTTGTTCATAAATAAATAGTTTATAAAACTAATTCTTATGAATAATACGTACAGATTATAATTGTTTGAGTGGGAATCTTTACGTTAGGTAAAGAACACTTTTGTGTACCGCGATGAGTTTACAAATAATTTCTATTATTATTATTAAAAAATGTACTGAAATTCATATATTCATGGTTTCTTTATTATTTTGAACAAATACAAATAATTTTACATTACTAAATTTCAAATTATGACGTTGTTTTTTATTATTTTATTTATTTAGAATAACTTACAAAACACATACAAACAAATGGTCGATTGATAAATTTTTGTGACTCGAGTTATTACGTTCTTTCACTTACAAGTTGCCACAGGACGCGTTTATACCTAGGAGTAAGATAAAAATAATTGACTACTTACAAATTTACTATTTTAAGCTTTAAATACAAATATATAATATATATTTTTATATAATAGCAAGTGACTGCGACATGTATAATAGTTGTAGTACCGCGCAGAACTTTAAATTGCAAAGATCTAAGAGTCACCCTGAGACATAAGTTGACAAGTCCCACGTGCCTGTAATTACACCATCACTCTTAACCCTTCAAAACCGGAACGCAGTCATGTAAGCATTACTTACTGCGTTGGCGGCAGTAATAGCTAAGATGCTACCACCTTACTTCCCTGGACTAAAGTCTTCGTTCACAAGGGCCTCTACTGCTGTTTAATATAACATGCATTAATTGTTTACTCTATGTATTAACAGTCATGCATAGTCCCACTATTAGCAGTACGGATTGGTAACTTCACACATATCATAAAATTGCTTTGCAGATTTCCCCAAGCTGTTTCCCTTCATCGAAAGCTCATGGTAAATTTCAAATTACATTTCGCACATAAATTTCGAAAATCTGCAAAAAACATTGTGCTTGTGAAGCGATAGGCCAAACCTAATGGCTGTCACGGTTTTTTTTATTAACTAATTACACTAGTAAAATGCAGAAAGATAAATTCTAATTCTAATTCTAAACTCTCTTTTGTTGCAGAAAGTATCGACAAATCCGGAGAAGATCTTGTAGTGGCAGCTCTAAGACCTTACGGAGCTCCGGAACCGCCAGACGACGACCACTCAAAGGTCGTCCCAGACGTGTTTCAAAAGCTCTTCGGAAACTTCACAACTTACAATAAACACGCAACAACAACAGATGTATCACTAATAGACCACTTTTTAAACGTAGAGCATAGTTATGACAATGAGACTCAAAGAATGTTAGTGGAAGGACTGAACACGGAAAAAGATAGTGTAAATGAAACAGTGAGTGATAGCGATAATGTGACAGTATCAAAACCAAGTATTTTCGAAGATGTAGTGACTAAATTTCTTAGACTAATTGAGACTCAACATTTGTTAGGCGAAAATTGTACAGCTGGTACACATTTAAATTTAGGTGAAGGTGTAGTGGACAGATATGCTCAAGAAAGATTTAGGATAGAAGCGGACGTCGCTGTGAACAGAGCTAATATGTTAACTCGGTTGTGGAAGTATGCTGGGCCTTCGGTGATGCATAATGAATATTTGTTACATGCTAGTGTGTTTTCTATGGTGGAGTTTGATGATGATATTTTTGCCGCCGGCAATTGTTATGACCAGTACCAGTATAAGGACTATCAGCTATTCTGCCCGTTCGCGTACAGATTGCCGGAAGGACCGATATTGGCAAAGGATCTCGCCGTGGAGTACAAATATTTGAGCAACACTTCAGAGTGGTTTTATATTGCGAGGAAGAACGCCGAGCGCGTTATTCGGAACCACAATCAGTTCAGGAGAGGTAAATGTTTTTTTTTTTCTATATTTTTTTCGTAGTTCGTTTTCATACGTATGTTTATACTATAAATGGGGGGAAAAATATGTTTCTCAAACATGCTCGGAAATGTTTGCATTAGGGCGCATTCTCATTATGCCGTGACGCCAGATAGTCGTGCAGTTTAAAGTGTCGTGGCTTATATATTTGAATGAAGTTGTTCACACATAAAACAACATGACTAACTGTCGTTCATGACTTTCTTGAAGGTACGACGACAGACTGTTGTGACAGTGAAAAGAGCTACAATGACAGTCGTCGAACGATAAATAAAACGTCATGATAAAAATGTGACGACAGATAATCGCAGCTCCAAACAATTCTGTGAAACGACTGACGGCTGCCGTGCACCGATAAATTATCGTCACGATTTAGTAGGAACAGCTAGACACGACAGTCGTTCAACGACAAAATAAACGTTCACGACACAATCACGACAGAATCAGATAGCCGTGATATGGGAACAGGTTTTCGCGACAGTCGTCTAACGATAAATAAAACGTTACAACATAAAGGTACCCTTATTTTCAAAAAAAGAACCCAGAAAATGTGTCATTCAAGAAGTCATGCAACTCTTATAAGATTCAATTACTATCCGCTTCTTTAAACTTTTAAATGTACCTACTAACAAAGAGCTATGTAAACAGACTAAAGAAAAAGTAGCATACAGCCAACTTGTTAATATGCGGTTACTAGGTTTTGGCAAGTATCAATTTCGAATACAGCCAACTGCTCACTAGTATCAGTATCTGTAATTGTGGGAATTAAAAAAAAATTGTGTACGGTATTACGAGCATGAATATACCTGGGACACATTTTTATATTCCATTTTACATAATTTATTATATTTTTTACGGCGGTATTGTCGGTACAAAATTCGCCCTCTACGTCGCGTATTAACAAATTCTATATCCTACTCACTTTCATAAATGTCGATAATGACATTTTTTCACAATTTACAATAGTATATTTGGCACAATATTGTATTTTTATAGTATTTATAATGCATTAAAAAACCCTGTATCGCGGGTACCATAGACACACACATGGACCACCACAGATCACACCCAAACCCACAAGAGAAATAAATGTAAGCCATACAAAAATTTCTCCCAACCCGGGAATCAAACCCGGACTTCTTTGTGGCAGATCAGCATAGTAACCGTTCGGCCACGGAGGCAGATTCTTTGTAGTACTTACAGAGACATATCTCCATATAAGAATTATGTATAAAAATAATTCGTTTTAGAGTGTATTTTAGCCAGTTTTCAGGATTTTATATGATCAGATAAAGTACCTACTTCCTATCGCGTAATAAATTAGCACATTCTTTATCAATATCCTTAAGTGTATCGTATATTTTTTGCAAGACCGTTATTTAATAGTAAATACCTTGAAAGGGTTGTAACCCAATTCAATTGACAATCGTGTCAAGAGGCTTATAGGTGATTCGGAATTAGTGGAGGCGAAGCTGCAGAGCCTTGAACATCGCAGTAAAGTTGCCTGCTTATCGGTATTTTACAGGATATATCACGGGGAGTGTGCGATGGAATTACACGATTTAATTCCGCCTTCCCCTTTCCATCACCGGGGACTAGGCGTAGACTTGGGTTCCACCCCTATGTTGTGGATATTCCTGAGATTCGCACGAATCGTTACGCTTCCATATTTATATGGTGAACGGCTATAAAGTGGAATTTCCTGCCTGCAGACTTGTTCCCTGAACGTTATAACTTAGGTCTTTTCAAGGCGAGAGTGAATAGGCATTCTTTAGGTGTGCATGCTCCATCGTCGACCTCATCGTCACTTTCCATCAGGTGAGATGGAGGTCAAATGCGCACTTATATTTTATAAAAAAATAGTCGGTTAAGGACCATTGACTTACAATTATGGACAATATGGACGTCGGGTCCGCGCTAAAAAGTGTCCGCACTTGTAAGGCGCTAAAATCGTATACAGAGCGCCAAACTCCGCTTTAGTCTTCATTTGTTCTACTGACAGCGCGATACTGCGATGACATTACAATTTAAATTTCAAATAGGTTGACTTGGGACATTTTTTTCGTGGTTTTTGTATTAGACCCGTCGTCCATTTGTTTGTAAGTCAATGGTTAAGGAGAAGAAAAGAAAAGGTAAAGGTAAAAGCCTTCTTTTACCTCTACCAATTAACAATAAAAGGTTTATATAGAAAACAGGTACATTATTAAAAAACACTTCCTAACTTAATGATGATCAATATAAACATATTATGTAGACACTTATCCCAAAAGGCCCCGAGTTATACTGAATTACAGATACGTATTCATAGGTACGTGATAAAGTCTGTAGTGGTTATAATCTTATTAAAATAGGCACATGACTTAGACTTAGTAATGATATAGCAATTGAATTTAATCAGCTCCAGACACTCTCACGATCGTGCAGCGAGTGACTAAATTTAAATACGAGTGGCCAGGAACCGGAGAAAGGTGATAAAAAAATTCACACCGTCACAGCCTAAACCATTCGATCTAGCCAAACTGGTTTTCCCGCTTCTCTTTCGGTGCACCGCCGCCTTAATTTTAAATTATTGTGTTACGAAGACGGAGCGAACTTACCAGACCATTTAAAATCGAAGCCATGCTGCTAACATTAATTAATTAAAGACAAGGTTTTCCAACCCCGCAAACGCTCTGCTACAGGTTAAGCTATACAATCTATCGAGTTTTAGGCGAATATTAAGTTAGTAATTTAATGTATTTTCGATATGAAATTGCGATTTAAGTCTCCCTGTGACGGATTATCCACATGATAAAGCACCTCCGGTGCGTTCTCTCTTTGTAACTTATTTTGTGTATGTTGAAAACAATAGAAGTGAAACAAAGATCGAACGCTCAGAAAAAATACCTTCGATCCGGTCGGATTCGAACCGACGTCTTCTTGCATACCGTGCCAGACGCTATACCAACTAAGCAACGGAACGAACCAACGGACCTCATGAATTTTTCTATGTGCTTGCATCGTGTCTTTGTATTTGGTGTTTTCAACGACTTTTTAGTCGTAGCGCCATCTATGAGAAATCTATGAAAGATTTATCACCCAGTTAGTACCTTTACAGCTACCAGTCCTGGCGAGAGATGTCGCTATTCACTGTATTAATTAAATTTTTATTGAATTGATATTTAATACTTTTTTGTGAAATTACTCCACTACTTTGTTATAATTATTAATACAAAAATCGAACACTCAGAAAAAATCCTTCGATCCGGTCGGATTCGAACCGACGTCTTCTTGCATACCGTGCCCGACGCTATACCAACTAAGCACGGAACGAACCAACGGACCTCACGAATTTTTCTATGTGCTTGCGTCGTGTCTTTGTATTTGGTTTTTTCAACGACTTTTTAGTCGTAGCGCCATCTATGAGAAATCTACGTATATATATGTGTATATATAGAAATCTATTTTTTTGTACGTATGTTACGCAATAACTCCCGCATTTCTGAACCGATTTTGATGATTCTTCTTTGTTTGAAAGAGGGCCTCCTTTGAAGCCTTAGTATTGGTCCTATTTAAATTTAAATAATATATTCCACCTCTAACTGACTAACTAGGGATGAATCCGGTTTAGCGCACTTTCCGGTAACCGATTTCAATAAAACTTTTTTTTTATATTATCAAGTGCTGGGACGAACAAGTCGTGCGCTTGATCGTAAGTGTCTTTATAATGGGGAGTGCTCTAAGGAACTTTTCGAACTGGTGCTACCGTCTCGTTTCTACCATCGCACCTCCCGCCAAAGGAGTACCATCCCCACATCTTAGATGCCTGGCATTGTAAGACCACGCGGGCATCTCGTTCGTTCTTTCCTCGAACCTGCAATATTTGGAATGGTAATCCTCCTGAAGTATTTTCTTTGCGCTATGACATGGGGTTCTTCAAAAAGCGTGTTTACAGGGCTCTCAAAGGCTGGCAACGCATAGGCAGCTCATCTGATGTTGCAAATGTCCATGGGCGACGATGACCACCTCCTATCAAGTGGCTCGTCTGCTCGTTGGCCTTGTTCCTTACATAAAAAAAAGCTACACGCCTATCCATGACAGATGCAGTGCCACTTAAAGCTTTATATCGCAAAGATCTGAGGGTCACTGCCATTGCGGCCGTCACCCTGAGATATAAGTTGACCAGTCTCATGTGCCTGTAATTTCACCAGCACCCTTCAAAACCGGACGGAATAAAGCTGATATTAATGCTTGGCGGCAGAAATAGGTAAGGTGGCAGTACTTCTCTGGACGAACTCTTTCACAAGGAGCTCTTCTGCTACTTTTTAACCGAGTTCAAAAAAGGAGGAGGTTCTCAATTCGACTGTATGTTCTTTTTTTTGTATGTATGTTACGCGATAACTCCGGTATTTGTCAACCGATTGTCATGATTCTTTTTTTGTTGGAAAGGGGGTACATTTCATTTTAAAGAAAATCATCCACCTCGAAGGGTGGCTGTTCACGCATGAAGATTCATTTTTATAAATAGCGCCTAACTTCATTTAGGACCAATTACTTTAATGGTTGATTTTGCTATTTCTCCAATTCAAGGCGTTTTTCTCTCAATATACTTTGTGTAGTGAGAACCTATTTTTATATTATCTCCAGTGTCAAGTCCTGTATAGTGGCGAACTAGGGGATATTTCAATAAAACTTAGCAAATAGACGTAATTCTACGTACTTTTGAGGTCGGTTTTTTTAGTACTCTGTACTGAGATTATTTCAAATTAATGTTGCTTAGTATTATGTGCCAATGCCATCTAGTGATAGACTTCGGAACTACTATAATTCGACTCATCCGAAGAACGGAGTCCGATGTGATTATATAGCGAAAATATAATAATTTCGTTACACAAACTAAGGCGTATGTAAAGGTGTTTTGAGAATTGATATATCTTATTTCGTTTCGGAAATATAAAATCGAACAACTGTCAATCTGACATCTACAGC